TAGAGAAAATACAAACAGAGATAAAAAGTAATTAACAAGGGAATATTTGGGATGCGTGTTTCGTCCCATTTGGGACTCATCATAGTTAGCATGTTCAGTAATTATTTTTAGTGGATATCAAGAAATTGAAGACAGTGAGGATTATAAATCCTCACTTGAATAAATCATCCATGACCTATAACATTTGTATTCTCACACTTCATTTAGTAATATTCTATTTTACCTACATGATAGAATGTTAATATATTATTGTATGGCTTAACACAGTATATTGTATTCCAGCTCTAATGATATTGATATATGATAACTTACTGTAAGTTTTTTAAAAGTAAAAATCAGTAGACCACACAAATATACTACGACGTAAGAAGGTAATCATATAATTAGTTATCTATTCGTACGATTATTATTGATTAACATATAAGGAAAGGAAAATTTATGGGAACTGTTAATTTTTAATTGAGAATAGTTTCTTTTTTGTTAATATGAAGATTGTGGGGATTGTTAAGTTTTTATTGAAACAATGAATGGATTAAGGTTAGGCAGTCATTGAATAACTGGAAGTGTGGTGTGAGCTACTTATAAGTAGTATATGACGTGAGTGTCAACGTAATGTCTGGCAGCAGAAGATAGGGGAAGATCAAGAAAGCGAGGAAGAGTGGGGGGGGGGAACACAATGGAATTTGTATGAAACGCATGAATAGTGAGTGACAATGGATTAATGTTGCTTGCAACAGGAACAGTCCAGTTCGATATGATGAACTGATATTTTGCAAATGAACAATTTACGATATGGTTTTCGGATTTTACTTAGTAACTCTATAATTTTCGTTAAATACAATTCGGTTGCCCCACCTGTGTTCTCCTTCACTACATAAGCATTGAACGGATATTTTTTTCCGCGTATGAAACTCATTAGTAGTGTATATTCATGAACATTGGAGTCAAAGTCTTTCGGTCTCGCATATGCACGTGCCTAAACATTAAATTCTTGATTTAAAATCGAAGGCTCTTAATGTCTGACTTCGATCAATCCATATTATAGCTCGATCATTATCTATTGTCTCCCACATTGTGCGAGCGTTCCATGTACGAATTTTTTCTGGTTAACACTATTTTACTGCTAGTTTTCTACGTGATAGGCTTGCCATTCCCATGCGCACCCTTGCCCCAATCTCCGAGCTTGCGACCGGCAGTAGCTCCAGAGGGGCTCTAGGTGGAGTTAGGAGAGAACAAGCCAGATTCCAGTGAAGGAAGAAATCAAGAAGAAGCGCCGAAGGTGGATAGGACACACATTAAGAAGAGCGACCAACCGCGTCACAAGACAGGCCTTCACTTGGAACCCTCAAGACCAGTCAGTCAGTCAGTCAAATGCAACGTAGAACTTCGTACGTAAGTACATCAGTTCATGTCGCCATACCACGTCAGCACAGAGATGTAATTGTCAATTCAAATCCAATAGTAGTGGGGGTAGTAAAGGTATTAGGAGTAATCAGAGAGGTTAGGATTAGAAGATATTATTCAAGAAATATGATTCAGTGAGAAAAGTTTCGAAAGTCAAAACTAGAGGTGTTGAAGAATCCAGAATATTAGGATTTGAGAGAACACATAGCATAAATGCACCGGCGCCATTGCAAACGATCCTGAGCCATGTCATTCAAGGTCTCTAACCATCAATTATTATCGCCTCGCGGACCCCAACCAGGTAGTCGACAATTACTGACATGGCTAAGTCCACTCGTCAATGACTTCATGGATTTGTGCCATGTTTTGGTTTGGCCGCCCCTAACTTTCTTCCAACCTACTCCTACACTACAAAACAAAGCTCTTCGAGGCAGTCGGTGGTTAGGCATTCGGTGGTTAAAACCAATGGAAAAGAGGATGGCCAAGAAACACACTAAGCTGAGAAATGGAGACAGACATGCAAAGAATGAACAGTAGTTGGATGGAACTACATAGGAAAATCCTGGACAGAGCAAGTGGCGTATGCTCCACCAGGGTAACAGGCGCAAGCAAGTATGTAAGTAATCATCCATTGTCTTCGGTATTTCACTGCCTCACCTAATACGTTTGAACTCCACTGATCACCGCTTCTCACTCGAATTCTGAGACTTTTCTCACGAAGCTAGTCCGTAGTCAGCTTATGATCATTGTCAGCATAAGGGTTGTATAGATTGTTAGGTTTCATTGGATACCACTCTCATATGATTCGGTTATACACATCAATGCACAAATAAACGTCACTTGGTTTAATGATCAACACGTGATCAATGGACTATGTCACTTATCTATGCGCCAATGTAATTAATGATCACGTGAACTGATAAACTAATTAACATTCGATCCAACTAATAATGTTAACAAAATTGACAACAACTCTTTACTTATTAATTAATAAACCATGTGAATGATGAAATTGTGCATAGAGTGATTATTATTTTATAAAAGTCTACACAATATGAAATAATAAATTTAGATTAGATAAACTATTGATTACCAACTACCAGGAAGTACACTGAAACAGTAGTTTTATTCTAGTATTATCAATGTCACGTACTTGTTTTTTATTGATCGTCCTAACTGTCAATATCACAGAATTCAGTGTTGTTTCCTATTCGACCAAACTGTATAAATACGCATTATCTGTAACGTTTTTATGATCTGTACACGGATCCGGATCCCTAGTTCGAGATCCTGATTCTCTTCTGGACTCGGACCTTGTACTTTCTGGATGTTTATAGAATACAGGTTCTACTTCACATTCAAGTCTTCTCCTTTTACTCAATCGGGGTTGCGACTATTGGATTAGAGTAGCATGTCGTGTCGCCGGATCCTCGATCCTCGCTCTCGTTTACTAACTAAAGTAAACTCTTGGTAATTCAAGCATATCAAATGATGTGTTTGCGTGCATTCGTAACAAGTATGCAACTTCATAGTGAATGGTATGTATGCATTCATAAACTTCAATCAGAAATCTACAACTCTTTGTTCTCCTTTCAAACATTTTACACTGTTTAAGCGGCTCTATTTGGCTTGTCATTTATGGGTTTACTGCCTTGCATAAACCTGGCTTCCTGCTGGACTGCATGCACGCGCTGGCTTAGCGGTAAATATCCTAGGCTTCAGCGTTAACCATTAGTCCAATGCATTTGGGTAACCAATGTATAGGATTATTGGCGTACAACTTTGTTCGTAATAAGTACGTGTCATTGGACTTAGGATTAAAAGTTGAAAGTCCATGAACGAGTTGAGTGATGATTCTTGATAGGTACTCGATGATATACGAGGATTAATAAATGAACATAAGAACCGGTTGCGTCGATATTTGAAATGAGATAGTACTTGGAAACAACTGGAAGGAATGATCCTAGACAAGGTTGGTTAGAGAATCTTGGTTGATGGTCTATGCTCGAAAATGGGTAACAGCTATTGAAATGGACACTGAAACTTGAGTAAAAAAGGATACTGGTCTTGTGGATGAACATTACTAATTGAATTACTTACTTATTTACTTACTTACGCCTGCTACCCCCAACGGAGCATAGGCCGGCGACCAGTATCCTCCAACCTACTCTGTCCTGGGCTTCCCTCTCCAGTTCTCTCCAATATTTGTTCATTCCTTTCATGTCTGTCACCAATTCTCGGCATAATGTGTTTCTTGGCCTTCCTCTTTCCCTTTGGTCTTGAGGATTACAAGTGAGAGCTTCTCTTGTAACACAGTTGGGTGCTTTTCGTAGTGTGCGTCCTATCCACTACCACCGCTTCTTCCTGATTTTCTCCTCCGCTGAAATCTGGTTTGTTATTTCTTACACTAGCTTGTTGTTGATGGTGTTTAGCCAACGCATCAGAAGTATTTTGCGTAGGGATTATACTGAGATCATCACGAAACTTAATGATCCTAGGTCGACTTCTTCTAGGTTGATGATTGTGAGCTGAGTGAGTCCCAGTGTAAATCCGAAAACATTGTTTAGTGTCACATATTTTCTAACGATTCTTAACCTACTAAGTTGTGTGAATATGTTTACAGTGGAACTAGATACTGTAACCATTTACTTAATTCTGTTCACTGAAATACTTAGAAATTAGGGAATATACCTGTAACCCCTAGTGGGACAGAGGTCAACGACAAGCATTCTCCAACCTACTCTGTCCTAGGTCTTCTTTTCTAGCTCTATCTAATTGCTGTTCATTCTTATCATCTCTGTCTGCGATTCTCGGTGTAATGTGTTAATTGGTCTTCCACTTTTCCTATGGCCTTGAGAATCCCAGGTGACGGCTGGTCTTTTGACTCAGTTGAGTGATTTCCGCAATGTAACTTCCTAATTTCTTTCTTAGCCATAATCTTCTGGTTCGTTCCATCCTATAGTAGGTTGTTGCTGATCGTGTCTGACCAACGCACATCCAGAACTCAAAACAACTATTAACCAACACCAAAGTCACAATTTTCAATCCGAACATCAAACCAGTTCGATTGAACAAATCGGAAACTTGAAGAACCCCAAAAGCTATCATTCAAAAGATACAAGTGTTTATTAACATTAATCTACGTACGATACTATGAATCCATTGGTCAGACATCATCCATAACAACCTACTGTGGTCGAGAACAAAAAGTATACTCCAACTGAACAAGAAATCAGGAAGAGAAGTGCTATAAGTGGATAGGACACACATTGAAGAAAGCATCCATCTGAGCCACGAAGCAAGCCTAAACATGGAGTCTTCAAAGTCAAAAGAAAGAGGCAAGATCGAGGAAGCACACAATGTCAATAATTCAAGTCAAATATCAAACGCAAGAACAGTAATCGAATAGAATTGGAGAGGAGAGTCATAGGAAAGAGTAGTTTCAGGAATGATAGTCAACTCTCTAAGGATACAAGACTTACAAGTAAATTAGTGAAAACGTTTATTTCGTTCTAAAAATATCATATTTAGCAGGGAAGTTAGATAAAAAATGATGAATAATATTAAACAAGAATAAACAATTTCTGTCTTAATAGTTATGTTTGTTTATAAAGAGACTAAAACTGACTATTAGTACTACTACTACTACTACTACTACTACTACTACTACTACTACTACTACTACTACTACTACTACTACTACTACTCCGACTACTAATACTACTACTACTACTACTACTACTACTACTACTACCACTACTACTACTACTACTACTACTACTACTACTACTACTACTACTACTACTACTACTACTACTACTACTACTACTACTACTACTACTACTACTACTACTACTACTACTACTACTACTACTACTACTACTACTACTACTACTACTACTACTACTACTACTACTACTAATACTAATACTAATACTAATACTAATACTGTAGTGAAGAAAAACACAGGTGAGGCAACCGGATTGCAGTTAACGAAAATTACAGAGTTACTCAGTAAAATCCGAAAACCATATCGTAAATCATTCATTTGCAAAATAACAGTTCATCATCATATCGAACTGGACTGTTCCTGTTACAAAACATCAATCCATTGTCAATATTCATGCGTTTCAGACAAATTCCCTTGTGTTCCCCCCCCCCCCACTCTTCCTCGCTTTCTTGATCTTCCCCCTACCTTCTGCTGCCAGACATTACGTTTACACTCACGTCATATACTACTTATAAGTAGCTCGCACCACACTCGTCCCCACTTTTAATAAGCTGTCGTCACTTTCAAAAAAGGGACCCTGGTCAGTTAACATCACTTTCCGTATTCCGTGACACTCTACAATATGCCGGATTACCACTTCGGTCATTGTTCTTGCCCGCTGGTCTGGAATGGATACGGCATCTATCCAACGTGTAGCATTCACTAGTTCCCGCTGCTGGGATACGGCGGCAGGCACACTCTAGATGAGTCACGACGCCAACAACTGTGCCCCCGACTCCCCTTCCATACTCGGCAGCGCACGGCGCAGCAATATCAAGAGCTCCACAGCCAGCACCAGTGGGTCACAATTGACAGACAGCCTCGCCAACCGGAACCTCCGCGGCGCCTCCTCCATGTCCACTGGGCAGACGAACTCCGTCACTACTCGCTCCGTGACCGTCTCCCACGCAGTCTTCCCGGCGGCACTGTCCAGGCTGTCGTACACCGCCTTTGCCTCACCTCCTCGCGACGTCCCCAGCACCACCAACTCCGCCCTGGGCCTCTTCACACCCACCAGCCTCACCACAGCCTCAAACTCCTTCGACCACGGGAGCTCCTTCCTTCGTGCAGGCAGCGACACCAAATGTAGTGAAGGAGAACACAGGTGAGGGCAACCGAATTGTATTTAACGAAGATTACAAAGTTACTCAGTAAAATAGGAAAACCATATCGTAAACGGTTAATTTGCACATCTTCAATCCATCATCATCAATCCATTGTCTGACATTTCACTCACTATTCATGCGTTTCATACACAAATTCCATTGTGTTCCCCCCACTCTTCCTCCCTTTCTTGATCTTCCCCCGCATCTTCTGCTGCCAGACATTACGTTGACACTCGCGTCATATACTACTTATAAGTAGCGCGCACCACACTACTACTACTACTACTACTAATAGTAATAATAATCCTTAAAATTAGTGCACTGCTTCACTACTAGTCTTCCTTTCATGTTATTCCTATTTAAATTTTGTGGTTTAAAAAAAGAAATGTACGCTACACGCATAATATTGATCATTGAACAAACCAAAAAGCAAGAGAACAGAATAAAGCAACTACAACTAATGAGATAAACAAAAAAACACTGGATGGATTATTATTATGATTATGATTGAAACATTGAATTCAAATTGTTTATGTTTTAAAATCGGATTATTTCGAGGGTGGGCAGAGATAAGAAAAGAAGAAAAGAACAGAACAGAAAAAAATAAAAAACGAATTAAAGGTGCAAGAAATTAAGATAAACAAATTGTTATTTATATATAGATATACTTAAAAATATTTATGATAATTAAAATTACTCATAACACAACTATGTATCTTCATTATGCATGATAGACATTATATACTTTTCAAGTGTGTTTGTTTTATTAAACCAATGTGATATATATATCTATCAGCGTAAATTCAGAATGGTTTTCTTATTAAAATCATAAATCATAGATCATTGGTAGACCATTATTAGAAACCTGGAGACACTGAACTGCCATTTCGTCCTGGTATGGGATTCATCAGCATTGCATATCCACGAACGCTGCACGCAAGAATCGGATCAAGGAATTTCCACTTTGATTCACGTTTGAGGATGTTATATCCCCAAAATTCGCTTGATAAATGCCTAATTTGGGATTTTACGTTTTTACCAGCATGGGCTGATCAGTTGACCTTGAGATTTCGATTCCCACCAGGAAAATCCGTGGCTGTGATTGGATGCTGTGTATTTTAGTGTGCTGTTTTTGTGACTGTCCCAAGGACGTTTCTATGATGTATAAATAAACGAGAGTTGTGTGTTGCTTGATTGTATTGTGTGATTGCTGGGTGTTTGTAGAATATACATTTCTACGCTTACCAAGACAGCTTTTTTACCGTTTTGATTCAGGGTAGCCTACCTGGACGCTGGTTAAAGTCTTGTTCGCGTTTATCGACTAAGGTAAACCCGTAATAGCCTCAAGCATACTAGTGACGAACCTAACAATTAAGAATTGTTTTCTCATTGAAATCATAAAAAAGGTAGATCATTGGTAGACCATTATTAGAAAGTTGGTGGCACTTGATGGCCATTTGGTCCTGGTATGGAATTTATTAGCTGTGGGTGTAGTGTGAGCTACTTATAAGTAGTATATGACGTGAGTGTCAACGTAATGTCTGGCAGCAGAAGATGGGCGAAGATCAAGAAAGGAAGAGATAGAAAACAATGGAATTTGTATGAAACGCATGAATAGTGAGTGACAATGGATTGATGTTGTTTGCAACAGGAACAGTCCAGTTCGATATGATGAACTGATATTTTGCAAATTACGCGTTTACGATATGGTTTTCGGATTTTACTGACTAACTCTGTAATTTTCGTTAAATACAATTCGGTTGCCCAACCTGTGTTCCCCTTCACCACAGTGGGGATCCATGACTGCTGCAGGCAGGAATCGAATTCAGGAATTTTCACCTCGACTCTTGATTTCTAATGGAACTCAACCATCTCTGTAACCTTCATATTGACAATTATCATGTGCACACTACAGATTAGCCTTATGAAGGAATTCTTAGGGTTCTAGTCAGGAGCCATGATTAGTGGAATTCAAACGTATCATGTGTGAGACAGTTACATACTGAAGAAAATAGATGAAAGTCGTGCAACAACGTGAATCGAATGAAGTCAGACGTTAGAACCGTCAAGTTTCAACTTAATTGTCTAAAGTTTAAGCGCTTGCGTGAGTGATCGAAGGTCCTGGATTTCATTTTCGTGTGCGAGATCAAGGATGTATACTGCAGTTGAGTTTCCTACTAGGAAAAAACATCCGTTATCAGTGATGATCTAACTTTGATCGATTCATGATTTCAATGAAATATTTTTTAAAACAAGGATTTTTTTTATTTTAGTCAAAAGTACTCAACAACAACTTTACAAATTGTTCGTACTGATGGACGCATTCAAAAAAGGAACAGCCTCCAGAAAAAGTAATCAATCTTTGTCTCGTTATCAAATTTAAGGCTAAGAGATGTCTTTAAGAATTGGCTGGGACTTAATTTGACATCAAGCACTGAATACATGATAATCTAACTTTCTATTCTAGTTGCAAACTAAACTGTGGGTAACAGCGATTCTAAATAGAACACTATTGAAAACTTTCAAATATGCTGATGAAGTCCGTTCACCTACATGGACACATTCAACTTGGTCACCAGATAGTCCCACAATCCCTTGATGCTAATGGTCGTGTTTTTTCACTCTCAAAACTTCGTGTCCCACAATAAGCTGGACATGTATTCTTTTGCCGTGTTGGTATACGATCACCTTATTTCTTAAAAATTCGAAAGATGTGAAGTTAAGATAGAAACACTAGAAAGAACATCTTATTTGGAAACACATGTTGATAAACTAATAATAATCGCCTTATTCAGTACTAAAATCATACTCTTAACATTCAACGTTTTAAAAAACAATCCGAAAACCGCTGAGATCAGGTGGGAATATGAATTAAAGAAATTATTACTTACTTACGCCTGTTACCTCTCATGAGGCAATGGCGGTAGACCACTATTCTTCAACCTACTCTGTCCAGGGTCTTCCTTTCTATGTCTGTTTAACTTTTGTTCATTCTTCTCATGTCTGTCTCCATTTCTCCACGTAACGTGTTCGTTGGCCTTCCTCTTTTCCTTCGAACTTGAGTATTTCAAATGAGGGCTTGCCTTAAGATGCAGTCAGGTGCTTTCCATAATGTATGTCCTATCCAGTGCTTCTTCCTGATTTCTTCTTCCGCCTAGAACCCATTTGGGTCTGCTACCGGTCTCAAGCTCAGAAAGGGAGGAGGGTTGGGCTTGTAGTGGCGACCCTCTCTCGTGGAAAATGAACTCGCCTAAAAAGCGCTAACCAGAAAAAATAAGGAAATTATAGTCTGGGTTATTGTTACTGGAAAAAGTTAACGCCAACGAAATAACGCAAGTAACTGGCAATCTTTTGTATATCGTCTGTATTACAAATCTTACACTGTTAATTTGCATAACAGTTTGTATAATACTACTTTAACAAAACTGTTTAGTTTCGTTTAGAACACTCCAATCTAGTTAGCCGGCTGTACTGATTAGTGTTGCTAGCTTGGGATCGTTAATATCGCTGAATGATAAGTATGAATACTATGATGAAGTTTCGTTCTACGAGATGGATGGTGTAGTCATGTGAATTTCATTATTCTTCGGAATAACTTAAGGTATCGAATCTAAATAACCAACCAATCAAGATCGAGATTGATATGACGAATTGTGAGTGTTAGGCTCGTCACTAGGAACGCTTGAAGCTATTACGGATATCCCTTAGTCGATAACGCAAACGAGACAATGAACCAGCGTCCATGTAGGCTACTTTGATCCGAAAAACGGCAAAACAGAAGTCTTGATAAGCGTAGAAAATATGTTCTACAAACATATAGCAAGCACAATACAATCAAGCACACAACTCAATTTTATTTATACATCATAGAAGCGTCCTTGGGACAGTCACAAAAATGACACACTAAAATACACAGCAATAAATCACAGACAAGGATTTTCCTGGTGGGAAATGAAATCTCAAGGTCAACTGATCAGCCCATTCTCGCAAACTTGAAATCCAAAATGAGGCATTTATCAAGCGAGTTCTGGGGATTTAACATCCTCAACAATGAGTTATAAATGGAGCAATCTGAGTACTTCATTTCTACCTGGAGTTTATGCTAATGATGTTGTTCAAAAGTACACTAAATGCTCCAAGGCCGTACCCTCCAGCTCAGAGAACGAAACTCCAACAAAATTACTCTTCTGAGTTACGAATTTTCCGCAACATTTCAATACATGAATCCTATCTTTTGTAAATAACATCATGAGTAGTAGGATCTCATAACAGAGAAAACAGTAACTCTTCTAAATCTAAAACATTTTTTTGAAAAATTAGCTGTTTCCGGTTAACGATGTCATATAATATTAGATTAGAAAGATTTTCATTGAAATCATTAGTCTGTCGATGTTAGACCACCAGTGAAAGCTGGAAAGCACTAGACAGTCCACTCAACCTATAGTATAGGACTCATCAACAGTGCGCAGCTATGACGCCTCGAGCGGAAACCGAATCCAGGAACCTCGGTCTTGCCTGCTGACGCCTATTCTCTAAACCAGTGAGCCTGAATCCAACAATGTGAATGTCTTACTACAACCAGACAATATTCAGTAAAGGTTAAGCGTTCGCAAACCAGACTGACGATCTTGTAATTGATTCATACTCAAGAATGGTGGATATTCACCATCGATGAGTCCCATACTACAATGAAACCCCCATTCAATACTTATAGGTTTCTCAATGATTATTTAGCATTGATCAGTTCATGATTTTCAATGAAACTCAACATTCTCTATAACCCTATGTAGGATCCAAACTGAGTTTGGTACTGAGGAATCACTGTTTAGGTAGTTTAGACACACGCGATTGCCCAGTTTAAAACCAAAAGAAGTGATCTGAGTAAATGTCAGTCCCATTATTCATCATAAACATAAATATACATCATTATCTAAATAAATATTACCACTCAGTTATTCCACCAACAATTGTTCAATTAATCAAATCAACGGCACAAATAAATGTTATTCTATCTTTTCTGGATAGATCATATTCGTTCGACAGATAATATTTGGTTGCTTTATAACACACAGTGTTTCCTTTTCTGGAAGAGTGCTTCATTTCACAATCAAAATGCACAATTCCAGTCAGTGCAACCGACACAATCAAAAGAGGAATGAATCAATATGGCCGTCGCCATGACTAAGTATCAGTCTAAACAACATAAATGCAGTTCAGAAAGAAACATAGAAACTCAGTAAATGCAGAAAGAAATAGAAACTATAATAAAATACAAATATTATCATCTCACAAATGGAATCGAACAGACTAACAAAATGTTCAACTGAAAGAATCAGTAAGGACAGATTACAAATGTATACAACATGGAGGGATTTTCACAAACAAAGCCTTCAAAAAAATGGATCTTACACCCTATAATGACAAAAAAAGAAAGGTATATTCTTGTTGCATAGTTTTTAAACTAAATCATTGTTAGACCACTATTAGGAACCTGGAGACTTTGGACGGCCATTTCGTCCCGATATGTGACTCACCACCCACAATCGTGCAAATCACAGGATCCGAACTCATGATCTCCGGTCTTGAGCGCGAACGCCTAACCATTGAATCACTGAGCCAGTATCTGACGGTATTAATGTCTAATCTCACTGAATCCAGTAGTCCTGTGCTCGAGTGCTAGGCCGAAGGTCC